CTGTGAGCAGGGGAGCAAAGGTGGGCAGGCGGACTGGACGGGGGCTCTGGGGCTGGGCAGTGCCGTAGTGTGAGCAAGGGACTGGGGTGGGCGCTGGGACGTCTGGCTGGGGAGGGGATGGTTCTGCCTGAGGACACTGTGGGGCTGTCGGAGCTGGGACTGAGCTCCACGGGGTGTTGTGTGTTGAGTGGGCAGAAGGAAGAAGCCCAACCACGGTGATGCTTGGCTGGGTGACCTTCTTATCCCTGGGTGCCTATCCCTGCAGTGCCACCAGTGCTGATGCTAAGCCTGACTCCAGTGTCCCCGGTGGATGCGGAACTAGTGAGACACCAGGCCAGCCCCTCCGGTGCTTCTGCCTAGAGCTGGACCTCTGTTGCCCCACTCTTGCAGAGCCTAAGGAGAGCCCACAGGGAACCCAGCTGTCTCCTCACCATGGATACCACAAACATGCCCCTCCAGGCTGAGATGGTGGAGCTAGTGCCCAACGGGAAGCACACAGCTGCGCTCACCACCTCCGCCGTCCCCTCGCTGGCGGGTGACAGGTAGGGGAATGACCTAGGGGGTTCTCCCAGCTGCTTCCTGCCCTTTTAATCCCAACAAGTGCTGATGACCCCTGGCTCTGCTTTGGCTTCACCCCTCTCCCTCCATGGCCAGATTTGAGGAGAACCAGACTGGTGTGGCAGAGATGGAGGAGTTCCTGCCCCATGGTGCTGAGAAGAAGCAGACACACTTCACTGACGTGAGTGTTGGCATGGGCATGGTAGTGGGGATGGGATAGGGCTACTTCCCACTGTGACCGGTGCAACCCCTCCCCATTGTGTTCCACGCACAGTTCGAAGGGAAGACGTCTTTTGGGATGTCTGTCTTCAACCTGAGCAATGCCATCATGGGCAGCGGCATCCTGGGACTGGCCTATGCCATGGCTAACACTGGCATTATCCTATTCCTGTGAGTGCCACAGGGGCTTGGAGGGGGCCTGCGTGTGGGGGGCTCCTCCAGGGGGATTGATGGGTACCAGGGGTGCAGGCAAGAAGTCTTTGGCTTGGGATAATGCAGGGACTAGTATTCTGCTGGCTGAGCAATGTCGTGGGTGCTGGCTACCATGAGTGTGGAGACATGGACCCACAGGGTCCCCACACCCTACAGCCCATTTGCCTGTGAGGGGCTGGTGTCCTGCTGGTATGGCTGCCTGCAGGCAGAGCCTGTCTGTGCAGGGTTTGCCCCACAGCCGTGTCCAGGCTCCATGGTGTGACCCATTGGTGATGGTGCTGTCCTCCCACAGCTTCCTCCTGACAGCGGTGGCCCTGCTCTCCAGCTACTCCATCCACCTGTTGCTCAAGTCTTCAGGCATTGTAGGTGAGTGCCAAGTCCTCAGGAGAACTGTACCCGAGGGTCCCATCCTGACCCTAACCCCTTCACTGCTCCCTGTCCCACAGGCATCCGCGCCTACGAGCAGCTGGGCTACCGAGCCTTCGGCACACCAGGAAAGCTGGCCGCAGCCATCGCCATCACGCTGCAGAACATCGGAGGTGAGGACGGGGCTGGGGGGACCCATCTGGGCTGAGGATGGGGGATGGGACCAGAGTACACCAGTGCAGCATGACCTTGCTCTGCCCTGCAGCCATGTCCAGCTACCTGTACATCGTCAAATCTGAAGTGCCTCTGGTCATCCAGCCCTGCCTCAACCTGGAGGAGAAGACCACGTGAGTACTGCCTGCCCACGCTGCCTGCGTGCCTTCCCCGGGCAGGCGCCGGGGCTCTGGCTCCAGCTGTGCAGCCCATGGCAGGGATTTACTATCATTAAGCCACTACTATTTTTGATAACTGTCAGTGCTGAATAAGCCCCTGGGTGAGATTAAACCGAGCTGAACTTCCAATCCCTGCTCCTCACATCCCCTTGGGATCAGGCTTTCCTCCTTGAGCAGAACCTGCAGGGGCTGCAGAGTGGTGGACAGGAGCTCTGGTTGGGAATAGGTTCCCCCACCCCATACCCTCATCCCCATCCCCCCCTTGGTGGTGCACCGCGGTGGGTATAGGCGGATATGTTCAAGGACCCCCAGGGATGCTGGCCTCAGGGGTCCCCAGGGGTACCATCTCAGGGGTCTCCAGGGATGCTAGCACATTAGGGATGCCAGCCTTAGGGGATGCCAGTATCCCTGAGGTTTGGCAGCTTCAGGGATCTCAGGGATGGCAGACAGCCCCTGCAATGGCTGGGGCTGCCCCACCATGCCCTGGTAGAATGGGGTGATGATCAGGCCCTCTGCTTCCAGGGACTGGTACATGAACGGGAACTACCTGGTGATCCTGGTTTCAGTTACCATTATCCTGCCCCTGGCCCTCATGAAGCAGCTGGGTAAGTCAGGGGGATGCCACCTCTGACGCTGGGGTTTGGCACCCCAGGGCTCCTGCAAGGTGATGGTACAAGCCTGGGGGTGCTGGATAAGGAGGGGGCACCTAGCCAGTGCGAGG